TTATTTTCCTCATCCTTCCCAGACAACATTTTTTATGACACTGAGAAAGGGCCACCGGGAATTTAGTATGCCGTCATTAAATTTCCGTATCTGTTCACACTTCCTTCCTTTGTGAGTAGTCTAACTTCCTAAGATCCCTCACCAGAAATGTTAATTTTTCCAATTTTTCACTTCATGCATCGTGCCCTCACAGAATGCGCTCCATCGATGCTTTTGGCGAAACCTTCTGTATTCGCCATATATTAGTAGTCTGGTCGCATCTCCCTTGCCCCATCCTCGGATGGACTCGGTTGAATGTAGCCGACCGCATCTGGGTTTCAATCGCCTCGAGACTGGTTTTCATCGTGCCGTCAAAGAATGCGCTCCATCGACGTTCTTGGTGAAGCCTTTTATATTCGTCATATACTAGTAGTCTGGTCGCATCTCCCTTGCCCCATCCTCGGATGGACTCGGTTGAATGTAACCGACCGCATCTGGGTTCCTATCGCCTCGAGACTGGATTTCAATTTCGCCACTTATTTGCCTTATTCAAGGCCACATACTGGCGAGTCCTGACCGACCCGCATACTTACCCCTTCATGAAATCCGCTATACAATGCCATATACAGCTGACATTTATTTCGGTCCTGACGATGTCCAACTATAACGTCCTCTATACCGCCACATGTAGGCCAGTCCTGTCAGCATTTTTCTGTTTCTATTTTTTTGAGGGGTCTTTTTTCTCCTGTAAAATTAATCCAATCATTTTTAAATTTTCAAATGGAGTTTTTTTTTCACTCCTCGCTTATCATTTTTCTTAACGGACTCCTAATCTCAAAAACTATGTATTGCACTTTGTACAGATTTTGCCTACCTCGTTTAAAATTCGCGTGTAAATTTATTTTACTTGCTTTGATGGGACCCGGACAGGTCTTTAATAAAAATAATTAAATTAAATTAGAAGAAAAACCGATCCTTGAATCCACCGAGATGGCAGAACGCACCCTTAGTGAGATCTGTTTTAGCGAAGAAAATGTTAAAAGGACTATCAAATAAATGTCCAACAGATGATATATGATCAAATACTCCTAACGGTCAGGTTTAAGCCGCTGGTTTAAAATTTGAAGATAAGTGGAAAATATTATTTTAAGTGGTTCTTCTGGGAGACCTAACGATTTTGGTTGAATTTTCTTAAATACAGGCCTATTCACTCAGAAATGCCTGTTGCCATCTCCTTTTTGAGTTCTGCCAGTCCGCGCCTGTTGATCACCAGTCGTACTCTGCAATTCGCATTTTGTGCATTCGATTGTTCTCTAATTGTGTAATTCATTTTTACATCGTTGGCCTCTAGCTGAAATTCAGTCACCTGGTCTGTCAGAAGTTTTCTTAATTACAACTTGCCTCGAGACAAGATGAGAGTAAAAGTCACAGGTCTACGAAAACTCTCGGCCTCTGTACGTAAGTATGGCTTGGCTAAATCCGATATTCCCTCTGAAGAATGTACGCGTCTTGATTCACTTGTTCACCTGATCGCCAGTGAATCTAGTGATAGACAAAGGCGGGCATACAACATTTTGTTGAAAAATGTTCCTCGATCTGCTCAGCCAATTGATGTTGCGACAAATTTCCTGTATTCGTGTAGTTTC